GTCATCCGGGAAATGCAAATTAAACCTACATTGAGATACCACCTCACCCCAGTTAGACTGGCTATAATCAAAAATATAATATTGATATATTGATAATATTGAGTCTTCTATCCATGTATATGGAATATCTCTCCATTTATTTAGATCTTTTATTTCTTTTATCATGGTTTTATAGTTTTCCTCTGGCTATAATCAAAAATATAATATTCATATATTGATAATATTGAGTCTTCTATCCATGTATATGGAATATCTCTCCATTTATTTAGATCTTTTATTTCTTTTATCATGGTTTTATAGTTTTCCTCTGGCTATAATCAAAAATATAATATTCATATATTGATAATATTGAGTCTTCTATCCATGTATATGGAATATCTCTCCATTTATTTAGATCTTTTATTTCTTTTATCATGGTTTTATAGTTTTCCTCTGGCTATAATCAAAAATATAATATTCATATATTGATAATATTGAGTCTTCTATCCATGTATATGGAATATCTCTCCATTTATTTAGATCTTTTATTTCTTTTATCATGGTTTTATAGTTTTCCTCTGGCTATAATCAAAAATATAATATTCATATATTGATAATATTGAGTCTTCTATCCATGTATATGGAATATCTCTCCATTTATTTAGATCTTTTATTTCTTTTATCATGGTTTTATAGTTTTCCTCATAAAGATCTTATGCATGTTTTATTTGATTTATACCTAAATATTTCAATTTTGCTGCTACTATAAATTGTATAGAGTATTTAATTTCAAATTGCGGTTGTTCACTGTTGGCATATAAGACAATAATTGACTTCTTTATATTAACTTTGTATCCTGCAATTGCGCTATATTTGCTTATTAGTTCCCAGAGATATTTGTTGATTCTTTGGGATTTTCTACAGATGATCATGTCATCTGTGAACAAAGAGTTTTATTTCTTCCTTCCCAATCTATATACCTTTCATTTTCTTTATTGTCTTATTGCATTATCTTTGACTTTCAGTATGATTTGAATAGTAGTGGTGAGAACAGACCCCTTGCCTTGTTCCTGATCTTAGTAGATAAGGATGTAGTTTCTCACCATTAAGTATGATGTTAGCTGTAGGTTTTGTGCAGGTGTTCTTTATAACGTTGAGGGCATTCTCCTCTATTCCTCATTTGCTGAGAGTTTTTTTTTTTTTAAAATTTAGCCTGTTGATGTGATGAATTACAGTAATGGGTTTTTGAATGTTGAATCAGCCCTGCATACCTGGAATAAATCCCACTTGGTCATGACATATAATTTTTTTATACATTGTTGAATTAGTTTTGCTGATATTTTGTTGAGAAATTTTGCATATATGTTTATGAAAGATATTGGTTTGTACTTTTCCTTTATTGTAATGTTGTTGCCTGCTTTTAGTATCAGGGTAATTGTGGTCTCAGAAAATGAGTTAGGAAATATTCCCTCTGCTTTTATGTTCTGGATGAGATTGTAAAGATTTGTTATTTCTTCTTTAAATGTCTGGCACAATTTACCATTGAACCCATCTGGGCCTGGTGCATGCTGTTTTGGAGGGCTATTAGTTACTAATTCAATTCCTTTGTAGATATAAGTCTATTTAGATTGTCTATTTCACTTTGAGTTTCAGCAGATTATGTCTTTCAGGAAATTGTTCCATTTCATCTAGGGTATCAAATTTGTAGACATAAAGTTATTTATAATATTCCTTTATTGTCCTTTTAATGTACATGCAATCAGTAGTGATGGTACCTCTTCCATTTCTGATGTTATTTATCTGTGTCTTCACTCTTTCTTAGTTAACCTGGCTAGAGTCTTACCCATTTTCTTCATCTTTTTAAAGAAGCAGCTTTTCGTTTTGATGATTTTCTCTATTGATTTCCTGTAGTTAATTTCATTGATTTATTTTCTAATTTTTCTTGTTTCTTTTATTCTGCTTACTTTGGGTGTAATTTGCTGTTCTTTTTCTAGTTCCCTAAGGCTATGGCTCACATTATTGATAATAGATCTTTCTTCTGTTCTAATATGTGTGTTTAATACTATAAATATTCCTCTAAGGACTACTTTTGCTGCATTCCAAAAATATTCATTTGTGTTTTTGTTTTAATTTAATTCAAAATATTTTATAAGACTTTGTCTTTGACCCATATGTTACTTAGAAATGGACTGTTTTATCTCTGATTATTTTGGGGGTCTCCAGATATTTTGTCATTGTTGTTGTTAATTTCTAATGTAATTTAATTGTGGTTTGGGAGAATGCTTTGTATGATTTGTATTCTTCTAAATTTGTTCAGGTATATTTTAGGTCCCATAGTATGATCTATCTTGGTGACTGTTCTGAATGAACTTGAGAAGACTGTATTCTGATGTTGTTGGATGAAGTGTTATAAATATGTCACTTAGATCCAGCTGATTGATGGTACTATTCCATTCAACCAGGTCCTTACTGATCTTCTGCTTTCTGGATCTGTCAGTTACTAATAGAGTGCTGACGTCTTCAACTCTAAGTGTGAATGTGTATATTTCTCCTTGTAGTTCTACCAGTTTTTACCTTATGTATTTTGATGCTATATTGTTTGGTGCATTCATGTTAAGGATTCTTATGTCTTCTTGGAGAATTGACATCTTTATTCTTAAGTTATACCCATCATTTTCCTTGATAGTTTTCTATGTTCTGGAGTGTGCTTCTTCTGAAATTTATATAGCTATTCCAGTTTTCTTTTGATTAATGTTAGTGTGGTTATTATAATCTGCATCTTTATTTTTAACCTATCTTTGTGTTTATATTTGAAATGATGTCTTGTCTATAACATATAGTTGGCTCTTATTTTGTGCACTCTGACAGTGTGTATTATTTTAATTGGTTTATTTAGACAATTGATGTTTAAAGTGATCATTGATATTGTTGGAGTAGTATCTACCATGTTTGTTACTATTTTCCATTTGTTGTCCTTCTTTCTTTTTTTTTTTTTGTCTTTCAGTTTTTCTCTGCCTTCTCTTGTTTTAATTGAAAACTTTATATTATTTCATTTCCTGTCCTCTCTTAACATATCAATTATACTTCTTTTTCTACTTTTTTGTGTGTTTGCCCTAGAGCTATGCATTTACAGTTAATCCATGTCCACTTTCAAATAACACTATGCTGCTTTATGGGTAGTTCAAGAACCTTATAACAGAGTATTTCCAATTTCTCCCTCAAGTCCCTTATAATATTGCCATTATTCATTTCACTTGTTTGTGAGCTATAATCATTGAATACATTGTTGCAATTATTATTTCAGACAAACTCTTATCTTGTTAGATCAGTTAGGAATAAGTGATATAAAAGATTTTATTTTACCTTCATCGATTGCTTCTCTAGTGTTTTTCTTTTCTTTATGTATATTCACATTTCTGACTTTTAATATTTTCCTTCTGTTTGGAGAATTTTTCTAACATTTCATGCAAGACAAGTCTACTGGTGATAAATTCCTTCAGTTTTTGTTTGAGAAAGCCTTTATTTTCACATCACTTTTGAAGGATAATTTTACTCTGTACAGAATTCTATATTGAATTTTTTTTCTTTCAACACCTTAAATATTTTATTCCATTCTTCTTTTTGCATGATTTCTTCAGAGAAGTCTGATGTAATTCTTATCCTTGCTCCTATATGTTTTTTTTTTCTTTAGCTTCTTTCACGATTTTCACTTTGTCTTTGATTTTCTGCAGTTTGAACATGATATGCCTATATGTAGGTTTTTTTGGTATTTATCTTGATTGGTATTCTCTGAGCTTCCTGGATCTGTGGTTTGGTATCTATCTTTTATTTTAGAAAATTCGCAGTCATTATTATTTCAAATGTTTCTTCTGTTCCTTTCTCTATTTCTTCTCTTCCTGGTATTTTGAGTGTACATATTTACACCTTTTGTAATTGTCCAACAGTTCTTAGATATTCTGCTTCATGCTTTCTATTCTTTTTTCTCTGTGCATTTCCATTTTTTAAGTTTCTATTGACATATCTTCAAGTTCTCTAATTCTTTCCACAGCCCTGGCCAGTCTACTGATGAGCCAATTAAAGGCATTCTTTACTTCTGCTATAGTGTTTTTGATTTCTAGCATTTTCTTTGAATTTTTTCTTTGAATTTTTATCTGTCTGCTGTATTACTTATCTGTTCTTGCATATTGTTCTTTTTTTCATTAAAGCCTTTGTCATATTAGTTATAGTTATTTTAAATTCACAGTCTTATAATTCTACAATCTCTGCCTTACCTTTCTTTGGTTTTAATACTTGTTCTTTCTCTTCAGGTTTTCTTTTTTCTTTTGCTTTTTCTTTCTTTCTTTCTTTTTTTATTTTTGTCTTTTAGTATGCTTTGTAATTTCTTGTTGAAAGCTGGAGATGATGTTGGGGTAAAAGGAACTGAGGTAAATAGGCCTTTAGTGTGAGGTTTTGTGTTTATCTGGCTAGAGTTAGGCTGCACTTATTTTGCTATAGCTGTGGCTGTCAGAGGGTAAAATTTCCTCAGATATCCTTGATTTTGTTTTTGTATTTCCTTACAGATTTCTTCTTAAACTAGGTCTGAGATTTAAAGTTCTTTCAGTTCTAATTCCCCCAGTAGTAGTCATAGTGGCAGTTTTCTGCTGCTTGGCTTCTGTACTGGTAAGCTCTGATCCTCTATATTTATAACTATCCAGTTTTTGAAGCAGCAGTTTTCCCTTGGACCTCAATTCTTTGTTGGATCTAAGAAGAGTTGTTGATTTTCCCACTTGTTCAGCTTTTTTCTTGTTGCAAGGATAGGTGAGATGACTTCCAAACTCCTTCCATATCAGAGCAGAAATTGGAAGCCTTGGTCAGTTTTTATCTCTTGGCTTTATGTTCCTTATCTGTAAAATAAAGGGGCAGGATCACTAGTTGGTGGCTAAATGTTGCTCTAGCTCTAGCATTCTGTTGAGTTCATAAGCACTGACTTTCAGGAATGACTATGCCCATTTGTATGTCTATCTACTACCCTTCCTCTACAGGCAGACCTTCAGGTGGACAAAGAGAGACAAAATTTCTTCGAGTCCTCCCTTGATTATGTTTATCAAATCCAGGAAGTTCAAGAGTCCAAGAAGTTCAATATCGTGGAGCCAGTAAGTTCTATATATTGATGAATGGTCTAAAAATCTTTATCAAATGCACGTAAATGTGGAGAACTTTGGTCATAAAATTAAGATATCAAAGATGTGAGGGCTAGTTAATGCTTAATGATGAATGTCAAGAACATAGTCACAATGGCTTCTGGGTTTTTTTGCTCTTTTAATAATAATCATTCTATCTCTCTCCCCTCCCTTCCACATTTTCACTCTATGACTATCTTCCTCTTTCTTTTTCTCCCTCTCTTCTTTTCTCCCTCCCTTAATCTCTCTGCTACTCTTCCTATTACCTCATTTACCTCCCTCCTTTCCTCTCATGCTTTCAGAAAGCCTCTGAAACTCATGTTCCTTGCATTCAGGGACTTCCCATTGTATTATTTTTATTTCTTTCTTGTGTAACTTTTTCCACTTTAATCTCCTTAATTTATTACAAAAGATGATGTGCTTTGATTTGACAAGAATGTTGAATTTTAATAGCTTTTCTTTTTTATTATAAAAATATTATACTCATCACAGAAAAGTTAGAAAAAACATAAAAAACAAATGAAAAACAATAATATTGTGGCACTTTTGCTTCTAAATCCTCTATGTATCTATTATGTATCGTTCTCTATCTATGTATGCATGTGTACTTGTAGGTGTTTGTGTGTATACATATGTGTGCACATGCATATATATTGCACATGAGCACGTGTATTTGTGTACCTGTTCTTGCATTTGTAAATATCTGTATATGCGTATATGCAAACAAGTATTTATTCAACAAACATTTATTAAGTTTCTGTTTTGTGCCAGGCACTGTGCTAGACACTGGTTATCTTATAGTAAACAAGAAAGACTAAAGTTTTTTTCTTTATGAAGACTACACTCTCATGTGGTAGAAAGAAGGGAAAGAAGGATGCATATAATTAAAATAATTGCAAGTTGCAATAAGAGCTATGGAGGAAACCCAAAAGGGCTAAAATAAAAAACAAAAATGGGCAGCTACTTTAGATCAAATGGTCAAGGAGGATCTCTGCAAGTGCCATTTAAGATGAAATCTAAAGGAAGAGAATTTGCAGCCATGGAGATGGTGGGGAAAGAGCATTCCAGGCACACACAAACACATGTGCACAGCCCTTAAGTTAGGAAACACTGGTGTACTCAAGGAATGAAAACATTAGTGTCTTTGTTTTCCATGCTGGTGAGAGAAAAGGAGAATTACAGGAGGTAATGTCTGATAGAAAGGCATAGGGCCCATAAGCATGGTTAGGGGTTTGATTTTAGTCTAAGTGCAGTAGAAAACCATTGAAAGGTGTTAAGGAGGGTGGTATGTGGGCCCATTTTGCTGTGAAGAGAATGGTGTGAAAGGGGTCAAGAGTGGAAGTGAGGAAACCAGTTAGGAAGCTACTACAGTGGTCTAGGCAAGAGGAGATGTTGGCTTGGGTTAGGGTGGTGGTAGCAGAAATGGTAAGGAATGACTTGACCGGAGATAAATTTTAGAGGCAATGCTAACAGGAATTGCTTATGGATTGAACTGAAATGTGAGTGCAAGAGAAATTGGGGATGATCTTCAGTTTCTTCCTTGAATGACTGAATGGGTGGTGATGTCATTTCCTGAGATGGGGAAGCTTGGAAGAGAAACAGGAAAGATTGTATGAATGTGGATGTAGTACAGACACCTATACACACACATGTGCATCTCATATATGTATGTGTGTGTATATTATATAATTTTATATGTGTGTGTATATATAGTTTGTATATATACACATATATAGTGTATGCATGTTTATATGTGTTCACCTATTTGTTTACTAAAAAGATTAGAGCAGTTTTTGCTATGATTACACATCACTAGCATTGAGCATTATGTAAAGAATATTTATAATTTGATTGATGAAAATCATATTTTCTTTTGTTTTTATTTATGTATATCTGATTTTTACTGGGGTTGAATATTTTGAACATTTAAAATATATATTCCCGATCATTTGTATGTCTTCTGTAACCTCCTGAAACACTTCTAATTTGAAAATTAGTTCAGACTCCTTTGTTATTTTAGCATTATGACAGTCTTCATTAAAGTACAGAATTACTTTATTAATTTATCTCTTTATTCATTTATACAACAAATATTTATTGAGCACCTACTCTGTGCCAGTCCTACGGATATATAGAGAAAGGACACAGTCCATTCCCATACTATCCAAATTATGAATGGCTTTGTATGCTATCTGAACAGGATCTGCATGAATGAATTTGTTAATACTTCTTATTTTCTGAAACCAAGTCCAGGGTAAATGTTTAACCTAATATGAAAATAGTTATATGTAGACCTGTTTTTGTTTAACATTATAATGGGTAAACACTGTACAGTTTCTTTTCTGTGTTCACGCTTCCTTCATTTGATTAATTAGAAGGTGCTGGTGATAAAGTTATTTTTGCATGTTTTCCCTAGGTCTTGGCCTTTCTTCATAGCCTCTTCATTTCTAACAGCTTGACTGTGGAGCTCACACAGGATTTCCTCCCATACAAACAGCAGCTCCAGCTCAGTTTGCAGAATGTGAGTTTTCATGTGGGTTTCTTCACCTGTCTCTCCGTTCTAATTGAATTTCAGCTCCAGTGATTTTGACCTTGGAATTCTAAGTTATTGCATCCTAGCTAATTTGTAAGGACACATGGTGTGGATCACAAATATTTTACTATACTGTACCATTCTTGCTGTTCCAGTTTCAACTCTTTCCTGTCTTTGAGGCTGACTGCTGTTTAAATCTACCTTTCTACCCCTCAACGTATCCATCTATCCAATATATATTAAGTGTTGCTAATTTACTACATTTCTCCCAGATCAGAACCCAGCTATAGGCTTTTAAAGAACAGGTCTTTAGCTACTTCCCTGTCAATTAAGACACCCTCACTGTGGGTTATATTACCACAAACACCATTTTACCCTCTCTTCTTTTTCTTATTACTAGAGTTAAATAAATTACTTTTAAAGGTTTTGTCTAATTTCTTTCCCATGCTAGTTCTTATACATGGGCATAAGCATAGCCTTCCCATCTTTGTCACATATATTCTTTTACTTATTCATTTATTTAACGCCCATTTAAAATGTTTATGGAGGGCCGAGCCCGTGGCACACTCGGGAGAGTGCGGCACTGGGAGTGCAGCGGCACTCCCGCCGCGGGTTCGGATCATATATAGGGATGGCCGGTGCGCTCACTGGCTGAGCGCGGTGCAGCTGGTCTCAAAAAGGAAAAAAAAAAAAAAAAAAGTTTATGGATACAACGAACATATACTCTGTGCAAGGTATTGTGAAAACCACTGGACATACCATAATGAAGCATGTAAGTTTTTCTGTCTTGAAGGAACATACAGCTTCTAGGAGAAGAGAGACATAAACACAGATCAATCATAATCCCTTTTGATAAGTACTACACTAGAGTCAAGACCAAAGTTTTTAAAGAAGCACAGAGAATGGAACAATTGGCTGCCTGGTGAAGTCAGATAAGGCATCAATGAGGTAGTGACTTTGGACTGGGGCTTTACATTGTGTGAAACTTTAGATGGAAAATGCTGTTAAGTTATAATCGAAATAAGCCTCACTTGATTTTGACTTCTAGTGACTTTCAGTTGTTTTTATTTTATTTATTTTTTCTGCGTACTCCCCTTCTTTCTGGGTAATCTCCTTCACCACAATGTGAGAGCCTCTATTCTCAGCTGATTTACAAAATATTCCTACAACCAAGTTAATCATTTGAATCTTCCACATATATAACTTGACAAGTATGAGTTTAACAATAAACCTTTGCATGTATACATATGGCTGACTCATTTACAGGATAATTGGTAGAGTGGTCTTACCAGATAAGGGAGCACAGATCACCCTTTTCAATGAAAAGGGTGATAGTCTTGAGATTGAGTACTAAGGACCTATCTCTAGTGATTTTCCTACCCATGTTTTAAACTGTGTCTTGCCATTATGTTTTACTTGTGTAGTTTTAAATAGATTCCTTCTCACCATTAGCCTTTGTTATTCGTGAGTATGAAAACATAACTTCTGTTGGCTTTTCTTCAAAGTGAGTGCCCTTTCATATATTTTATCTTCATCACCAGAATTTGATTCATGGTCAAGTAGGCAGTAGCTATATTTGAGGCAGACCATAGAAGTTGCTGTGATAATATTTATTACCTTCTCTACAATGTCCCTTGTTCTAAAGCAGGAGTCAGTCTGGTGCTCAGAATTCTAAGAGTCCTTATTTATTGGAGCCTCAGGTGATTCCCTTTGGAAAAGAAAAATCTTCTAGTTGTGAGGTGATTCCCATTGGAAAAGAAAAATCTTCCAGTTGTGGTTTTATGAGTATATTCCTATTTATGTTTCTGTTTCACATCTAGTCTTTAGTACCATTAAACTCTATGAAATTATTTTCTAGTCACTATGCCATTCAACGTTTGTTTTTGCTTTGTTGTAGCACATGATGTACAAAGAGAAAACTCCAATCTGGGTCTCTGACCAATAAATACTTATTTATGATAATGGTGATGATGATAATGATTATGATGATGATGTCTTGACAGACAAGAAATCATTTCTCCAGTACCCGGCAAGAGATGGAAGAACTTAAGAAAAGGATGAAAGAAGCTCCACAGACATGCAAACTTCCAGGACAACCAACCATTGAAGGCTATCTCTATACGCAAGAGAAATGTGTGTTGAAACACAGAGCTATCCACTGGGTTTCTGTAGGCTGACATGTACCGCCACTTGACTGCTCTGAACTCTGGGCACTCATATTGTTCACAGACCCCTGATAGCTACAACTCCTTGGAGTGTAGACATGGAATAGTGAAATTAAAAAGGAAGGAGAAATTGAGGGGAAGTTAAGGATTTTTCTTACAAAGTCTCTGGGGTGATAAGACCTAAGGTTTGCTCTTAGATTCAAAATGGGGATTGTTAATTGTTTAATTCCTCTGATGACTCTTTGGGGCAAAAAGAGAAGTAGGGGAAAGGAGGCAGAAAAATGATATTTATTACATCTGTTGTGTGTCAGGCACAGTGCTGCGTGCTTTAAAAATACTGCCTTAATCTTTGAAACTGTCTTATACACTTTTTACACATGAGGCCAGTGAGGCTCAGAGAGGTCACCATTTGAAAGCTGGCCAACTAACAAATAGCAGGCCTAACATTAAATTCAGTTCTGTCAGATGCCAAAACCTATTCTCCTACCACTATACCCTATACTGTCTACTGCTTTAGGATCCGATGGTTGCTCGTAAATCACGTAATGGCTGTCATGATTTCGGTGGGCACAACAGTATTTATTGTTCATTGCTAAACAAGGAAAGTGGGAATAACTCATCCAGCCACTGAATGATGCATAGGATTCAAGTTTTCCTACCTCCTAAATAACATTATACAAACATGTATGTGCTATTTGGTTTTACTTTTGAACTATGACCCAATGTTCCCAAAGCCTGTGATTTCAGTCCCTGCCCAGTTATTCTACCTGGGGAGTAGGCAGAAAGAACACACTCAGAAGTTACCAGTGGCAGAAACCACTGCATGGTACTTCACAAAGTGTGGTACTCCAGCAGTAATATTATGCTTTTCTCGCCCCAGAGCAATTAACTTCTGGTAGTTTTTAAAGATATGCTCTACTACCTGCCATGTTTATCTCTTCAACTCTACATTGCAGAGTGTCTTAATCTCAGTGCTATTGACATTTCAGTCTGGATAATTCTTTATCTTGCGACGTGATCCTGTGCATTAGAGTCTATTTAGTAGCATCCCTGGCCTCTTCTCTTATTAGCTTTATGCTAATAGCACTCCCTAGCTGTGATGACCTAAAACATCTCCAGGCCTTGCCAAATGTCCCCTGGGAGGCAAAATTGCCTCTTGTTGAGAACCACTGATATATGTTGTGTGATGCTTTTGTATCCCTTTTTTCTAATTTGCCAAATGGGTATGATATTGTTACTCAGTAGAATGTGTGCTTACTGAGCATTGTTTCTGCTAGATACTATGCAATGCTTGGTTTTTGTCCTGAAGACGTTCACAGTCTGATGGGGGAGACAGATAAGTGTATCATTCATTATAATTAAATGTGTTGAGCACTCTATTTGGGGCATATACCTAAGGGCTTCGTTGAAGAAGTGATGTTTGAACTAGAACTTGAATGATGAGTGGGAGTTTGACAGATAAAGAAAAGGGGGAAGAAAATTCCAGGTGTATGAGTAAAAGGTAGGGGTGTGGGAGGACGTAGTTTGTTTGTAGAGTGCTGGTTTGCCAAAAACTCCTGGTTTACTCCTCTTGTCCAAAGTAAATATTAATACTGCCCCATTCACTTTTAAATATGTCTTGGATTTGAACTACAAATATAGCCACCTATTTATGTGGGAACTGAAAATAATTCAATGAGACAGGAACGTATAGGTGAGGATGCCAAAAGACAAAGCTGGAATAGTAAGTTTTGATCACATTATGAAGGGCTTTGTGGGCAGGCTAAGGAGTTTGAAGATAAGTAAGTAAGTAAGTAAATATATATACATACATACATATACATATATACATATATATATATATGTATATGTATGTATATATATATATATATATCAGGATTCCTCTAGCAAAAAAGTAGAGGATGGACTGGAAAGGAGTGATCAGAGATGGTGGAACCAGAGAGGCCACTGAAATAATTAACTGGAAAAATATTCGTAGTGAATTTTTGTTTTGTTGAAATATCTCATAAAACTTTAAAAAATAAGACAGCAGTAGGGTCCTTGATTAATTTGGTGCTAAAAGGGATGGAGAGGAGGAGAGAGCTGAAGGAGAGACATGTAGGGTATAGAAGGGGCAGAAGCCAACAACCAATCAAATGGGAAGGAGGAGCAGATGACAGAAATTTCCAGCTTCTGGGATGTATGGTGGTACCATTCATGGGGAACAGGGAACAGGGGAGGGAGAATAGGTTTGGAGCAAGTCAGGAGCAGATGTGGAAAGCAGGTGGAGAAGGTTAGGATCTTCATGTGTGCAGTAGGCAGGTGACTATGTAAGGCTGGAGCTCAGGGGAAGGACAGGGCTTGATCTGGAGTTTGACTGTGAAGGGTATGCTGTAAACAACTTCCGTCTTAGGAGTGGACTGACTGTATAGCTAAAACATTTATTCTGTCGCTCACTTTTGCCTTTTTTTATAGGGGCTTTGGGAATATCCTGGGTGAAATACTATTGCCGGTATGAGAAAGAGACCAAAACACTCACCATGACACCTATGGAGCAGAAGCCAGGTGCTAAGCAGGTCAGTTCTTGTTTGTGCCACATTTTTTGAGATGCATCTGTGACTGCATCTCAGAAAAGAATATATGTTGACTTAGTGTCATGTGAAGCCATGACTTTACAGGTTCTCCTTGGCCTAAGTTTGCATTGGGTCAGATGCCATTCAGCTGAGTGAAAAATTTCTGTTAATCATTACATCGGGCCTTCTCGAATTGCCTGTTCTGTTTCAGACCATTTATTATTACAGGTGCCTGTCACATTGTATAAAGAGAATATGCAAAAATATGGATGAATTGCTTTAAGAAGGCTCTACTATAGGATTCTTTTAAGTAGCAAGTTTTAAAAATATCAGTTTCCAAAATTTCTTTTTTACAGGAGTACATCTGTTGCCTAAAGTTGGAATAACTTATACCCCCATTCTATGCAATATTCAAATATCTTTAAGCAGTTAATATCTCTTCTTCCATCCTACAAACCTTCCCCCACTCCCCAAAATGGCAAGACAAGTTTAACACATTGAGAAGACAGTTTACTCATCTGAAAGAACCTGATCTTCTACACACATACACGGGTGTTTTTTTAAGATAAAAGCTGATGGTCAGACAAATTGTTCATGTTCTAAAAGTAGTTCAATGTGTCTCTTTCTCCTTTAACTGACTCTAAGACAAGGTCTTGGTGCATAATTTTTAAGTATTTTCACTCTTTACAGATTGTTTGGAAGCACTTCAAAGTTTACTTGTTAGCACTCAAAGTATTGTAGTACATGAAGACCCAAGTTAGGTAGGCAAGAATTTGGAGAAAAATTGGGACAATTTCTCTTCATTGCTGGTACTTTCCATGGAAAATCTCTTTTGTGTGGCTTGTTCATGTGAATTTAAAGAGGACTGAGATTTGGTCTTGGACTGTTCAAAACTGCTTTTTTTATTTTTGGTCTTTATTGTCTTTAACCACAAAATTTGCTATTCTTCCTTGAATGTGGGTTGGAGACCGGATAGACCTCTAGCATAACATACCTGATGGGGTTTCCAGAATACTCATCCATGTTTCTATCATTGGCCAGTTAGTTATTCATTCATGACTTCAAAACCCTTCTCAATTTCCAGTCTGCCAACTGCCAGGCACTTTTCAGAGTGGTTTCAATAAATTCGTCTTGTGCTGTGGCACAGAATTTGTTCCAAGTCTGTCAGAATTTAGCAGATGTATCTGACTGGTAAATGCTTATAAGCAACACTGGTCTGCAGTTTCTTCCTTTCATTTTTCTACACACATTACTTTCCAAATCCCAGATGTTAAAGCTCCTCTCGTAGACAGTCATACTTTTTAGGCCCCTTCTCTTCTGCTCAGAGGTGCTTGTTGCAAAGCCCAAGACAAACTCAGCAGAAACCACTTTCATATCCTTCTAGCAGATGTGAGAACAAGTCCTCCTTTTAGTTTTTCTTTCTGTCTTCCCTTTTGGTTGAATGGCTGCTTGCAAAACTGCAGTTGTGTCAACCTAAGCAGTTTTAATGTGGTATTCCTTAAGGAATGGAAAGAGGAACTTAATTCTCTATTTAGAAGGTGGGGGAGGTAGAAGTAGTTACTTGAATTTCCCCAAACTGAAGCTGGAAGTGATTTCTTCTTGTCAGTTCCCTGACTCAGTTCCTTGTGTTAGTTTGTTTTAGAAATGCAAATTCTACAAATAAATGATATTCTAATAATAATAGCACTATAAAAGTACTTGAGGGCTGGCCAGTTAGCTCACTTTGTTAGAGCTAGGTGTTGATAACACCAAGGTCAAGGGTTCGGATGACTAGTGCCCCCCCCCCCCCAAAAGCACACCACTTGAATGCCTACTCTGTGCCAGGCATTGAGCTAAACACATTCTGTCATGTGCCTTATTTACTGTCCCAGCAGCACTCTGGGGTAAGTGTCATGAGAACAATTTGAAGATGGAGGAATTGACCCTCTTTCTGACTGTGGCACTCCAGTCTTTCTTCCTAGTTCATCCCATCAACCCTATTTTTTATTGTACTGCTCACTTTATTGATCACCTTCCCAAATACTATTTTATTAGATCCTTATCCCTTCCCTGTTAGGAAGCTGTGGTAAGAAGCAAGAGTATTTTGAGTCTTAAGAACTGGGTTTAAATCCTACCTCTTTGTTCTAGTAGCATTTTGACCTTGAGTAAATTACTTAATGTTGCCCAGTCTGTTTCCCCATCAGAAAAATGGTAAGGATGGTAATGTAGTTCATAAGCATTTATTGAGCACTATTTGCTAGGTACTAGAAATATAAAGATAAATAAGACACTGTCCATGTCCTTGAGTTCTCAATCAAGTGGGGAAATCAGACATGAAAACAGGAAATTTTAATGTAATTGGCAAAGAACACAGTGGGCAGTGAATGGGTTTGGGGAAGGATTTTGGAGGAAATGAAAGCTGAATTGCAGTTGTAGAACAAATAAGAGTTTAGCCAGGCAAAGAACATAGGCAAAGTTATTTGGGGTGGAGGAAAAAGTTTATGTAAAGTCATGGAGTCATGAAAGAGCATCATATGTGTGTGAAATAAGAGTAGTTTTGCATCAGTGGGGCACAAAACAGGTGGGACAGGGTGGCTGGAATGGTTGGAAGGGCGTAAGCCCCTCAGCTGCAATGCCACTGAAGCTGAGGGAGTCGAGAGTTTAAAGAGGGAGGGTGAATGCATGACTCTGTTTATCGCTCTCATCTGGAAAGACTAACACGTCATGTCCCAAGTGGTGGGAAAGGAAAGACATATTGAAGGGTTAATTTGGGGTTGAGTTTTTACAGTGCAGGAGCAGCAAAAGGATGGGCCTAGAAGCGGTTGAGTGTGCTGATGAGAGAGAAGTATTGGGTGATAAGCCTTATGGGTTGGTTTGGATCGCATAGTGCCTAGGCACAGACCTGATGCTTGGGCAATTTCTGAATTTGAGAAAGCAAGGTGGTTGATATTATTCCCACTTAATAGATTGTAAAGTTAAGACTCAGAGAGGGAAAATGATTTGCTCAGGGTCACATCGTTAGTAAATGGCATAACTGAGACAAAACCCCAGGTCTTTTTTTTTTGTCTTTTGTTTTTTTTCCGTGTCCGGCAATGGATCGCAACCCTCAGTGTTGCCCCCGTACCGGACCGGGGACCGGCAACGGGATTGCAACCCTCGGTGTTGCTCCCGCGCCTCGCTCAGCCAGTGAGCGGGAACCGGTCTGTATGTGGGATCCGAACCCTCGGGCGGGAGCGCTGCCATGCTTCCCAAGCGGCGCACTTATCCAGTGCGCCACCGGGCCGGCCCAAAACCCCAGGTCTTAAGCTTCCTAGTTTATTGCTCTTTCTACTATACCAACTAGGGTGACTTTGAGTAAGCCATTTTACCTCTCTGAGCTTCACTTCCCTCTAAGGGTTGTTGTGAAGCAAGTTGATTTAAAAAAAAACCTAGCATGATATGTGGCACATAGTAGGTGATAAGTAAATGTTATTTCTCTTTCCTGTACCACATAGTCTCTTTTGAGGTAGTAGAGGGAAGCTGAACAATGTGGGAGTGGAAAATTTTAGTCTGTGGACACAGTGGGTACATAAGAGTAAGGTGAGCCACACTATCCTGCACATATGTAATATCAAATGCCACCTGACAACACAAATTTGCTTATTTCCACTACTGTTGCCTTACCTCTGGAGAGATTGCTTTTATGATTCTTGTCATCCTCAAGAGTCTGGAGGCCAGGAATAGAAATGTTTGTCTCCCTTCCTCCTCCTGCCACCTTAATGGAAGCTTCTTTTTTCAACTTCCCCCTGACTTTCTAAAGAAGGTTTCATAAAGCTACTTACTCTGTTGCAGCCTCCCTACCTAGAGGCCTCATGAAAATTTTATTCTGTACACTTAATGCCATTTTGTCAGTCCGTTTATCCTACACTCCCCTTAGATGATATGTACCGAGCTTCCTATTTAACCTACCATGATTGAGAAAGAGCGCTGGACTACCCTGAGCATTTTCTCCTGGTCCTCAGCCATTGATTCTTAGAGCAGGGAGAAACCATCTGCCATCTTGCTGCACGTACCATTTGAAGGACAAGGTTCTCACTGAGTCTACACATTGATCCTGCTGCCTTGACAGATGCCTTCCAAGTGACACTGAGGACACTGTAGGAGGCTGAAGAAGCTTCTGTGCATTTTTTTCAAATTGCCTCTTAATCCTTCTCTCATATCAGGGGCCCTTGGACTTAACCCTGAAGTACTGCGTGAGAAGGAAGACGGAGTCTATTGACAAGAGGTTCTGTTTTGATATAGAAACTAATGAAAGGTAAGATGTACTGGTGTGAATTGGCAGTGTCCCCACATGCCAGATGCTGAGCCTGGGTAGGTCTTGTAGTTTCCTATATCATCCCTTGTTGATGAAAATGAGCAAGCCTATTTAAGACATCATTGTCTTGGCTCTTCTGGCTGCCCTTCACAGGGATCCCTATTAGACCTGGCCTGGAGCCGGTTTTCTCTAAGCAAGCTCAGTCGGCTTTGCCTCTCCTGCTTTGGGCAGAAAAAGTCTCTCTTAGGATTTAATTTGCTATTAGATATGCAAAAGGTCAGCATTTGGTGATGCTGCAAAAAGGACAGGATACAAAGATCATTTTTTAAAAAAATCTCCTAGTATAACGTAAAAGAGCAAGTGAATTGGCACATATTTTTGAGGGAAAGCAGACAAGATGGAGTGTTGGTGGTGCTACTGGGGATTCTTTTTTCCCTACTCAGTGAAAAAATGATGCAGACTTTCCCTTCTTTGCAGATATTTATGTGAACTGGAAATAGTTTGATTATTAACACTGAGGTATTAGAGTTATGCCTTGCTAATTTCGAATTTGGTTGCATTTGTTTCTCTCCAGTGCCCTCTTCTTGTTTTTTCCTAAACATGAACAGTTTTATAAGAGGAGAATCTAATGTTTAGATTTTAAAATGAGAGCATTTGGTGGTATTTGGGAGAAAGGCATGCTTTGTAGTTGGGAGGTTGATCCAAAATTCAGTGAATAAATGTGTTTTTAGATTTTATTTCAATCTATTATTTCTATATGTTAGACAATGAATAATAGAATGGAATTTAGCAAAATGATCAGGTTGCTAGAAAGGAACTTAAAGGTAAATTATAATATTATATGAACAAAGCAATTAGTAACTGGGATCTTAAAGAATAGTCTAAAAGATAAGGCATTGTTTTGGATCTGGAAATAAGTAGCTACTAGTGTCTGCTTCCCCAGTTTAGAAATTGGGAAATTATTATTTGACCCTCAGAATTTCTATTTGTGAATCTATATGATTTCTTTGTTAAAAATGGATGGTGTTAATCAAGCTTTATGAGCTGTGATAGTAAACATTGTCACCAATAACCATGAGACTGTCACTCATTTCCCTGAGAGAATCGGGCCCAACAGGGGAAAATGACTGTTGCCTGTGGTTTCCTTTTTATGAACATGTAGTGTTTCTGGTTCTGCAGCATCATGGTGCTTAATAAAATAAAATTTTCTGTGCCTAGTTCCATTCTGATTTCCTTTTTAGTTTAAATTTGCAAGTTACTTGCAAATAATATCCTCAGGTCAAAGCAGTTGCAAACAATTTTGCCCTGAGTTTGGGGCCTGGGACCAATTTATATTTAAACTTCTTGCATTTGGTGCTATGCATGGTGCATGATAGTTACTAAATTTGGTGTTTATTTTTAAAAGTGTTTTTTTTTCTTACCCCAGAATGCTGAAGAATTCTGAGACTAGAATTCAGGAATTAATGTTTCAATGTGCCTATGGTTTTAGTTAACATATTGTGCAATTTAAAAAACGTTCTCTCATTTAACCCCCCCCCCCCCCACTCCATTTTACAGGTGTAGATACTGGGACCCAAATACATTTAACTGCTTTGCCCAAAAAGAGTCACAGAGTAAGTGGCAAGGCTGGGCTCAAACTCGGGTCTGTCGGTCTCCAAAGCCTGTGCTCTTTTTTTCCATTGTCTATTATAAGCAGAATACACATACTGTGAAATAGAGCATTAAATATAATAATGAACTGGGGCTGAGGCACCTCTCTGTGGGTGCAGCTTTCTGAGGGATATGATATCTGCTTTTCTGGTTAGTCAATGTGATATAAGGAATAGAGTTAGGATACCCAGCAAGCATCAAACACCTGTACTCATGTTTCCTGGAGCACAGAGCGAAGGGCTCTTTGAGTCCCTTTTTCTATTTCATGAAGAAAGGACAACCTTTTTTTTTTAATTGAAACATAACTGATTATACATATGTGTAGGGGACATAGTTGACTGTCAGTATTTGTATATGTTATGTGATGATCAAATCAGGATAGCTGGCATATCTGTCATTACAAAATTTACTCATTCTTTTTATCCATTAACCAATTTCGCCCTAAACCCCTTCCATCCCCCTTTTCCCCACTCTAATAACAACAATTCTGTTCTCTCCTTCTGAAAGTTCAACGTGTTATTGTGTTTGTTGTTTGTTTATTTTTTTAGCTCCCATTTATGAGTGAGTACATGTGGTATTTCTCTTTCTGTGCCTGGCTTATTTCACTTAACATAATTTTCTCCAAGTTCATCCATGTTACTGTGAATGGCAGAATTTCATTCTTTTTTATGGCTGAGTAGTATTCCATTGTGTATATATGCCACATTTTCTTTATCCAGATGTCTGTAAATGGACATTTAGGTTGGTTCCATATCTTGGCTATTGTAAACAGATCCTTGATAATAAATAGTACATATAGTGCAGGTTTCCCTTCAATGTGATAATTTTCATTCCTTTGGAATTGCTAGATTGTATGGTAGTTCTATCTGTAGTTGTTTGAGAAACCTCTATACTGTTTCCCATAAAGGTCGTACTAATCTACAGTCCCACCAACAGTGTAGAAGGGTTCTCCTTTCTCTACTCTCTCACCAGCATTTGTCATTCTTTGTCTTTTTGATAATAGCCAGTCTAACTTGCGTAAGATGATATCTCAGTGTGGTTCTGATTTGCATTTCCCTGATGACTAGTGATGTTGGACAGTTTTTCATGTATCTGATGGCTATTTGTATGTCTTCCTTTGAAAAATGTCTATTCAGCTCCTTTGCCTATTTTTTAATTGGCTTACTTGTTATCTTTTTACTATTGAGATGTTTGAGTTCCTTGTATGTTCTGGATATTAATCCCTTGTAGGATTCATAATTTGCAAATATTTTCTCCCAAGTATTTTCAACCATTCTGTAGGTTGTCTTTTCACTCTGTTGATTGTTTCCTTTGCTGTACAGAAGCTTTTTAGTTTGATGCACTCCCATATGTTTATTTTTTTTCTTTTGTTGCCTGTGCTTTTGGGGTCTTAATTCATAAAGTCTTTGCCCAGTCCTACTTCCTGGAGTGTTTCCCCTATGTTTTCTTCTAGGAGTTTTATAGTTTCAGGTCTTAATATATAAGCTGTTAATTAATTTTGAGTTAATTTTGATATATAGTGAGAGGTATGGGTCTAATTTCATTCATGTACATATAGATATACAGTTTTCCCAGCACCATTTATTGAAGAGGCTGTCCTTTCTCCATTGTATGTTCTTGTTGCCTTTGTCAAGGTCAGTTGGCTCTAAGTACGTGGATTGATTTCTGGGTTCCCTATTCTGTTTCATTGGTCTAAGTGTCTGTTTCTATGCCAGTACCATGCTGTTTTGGGTACTATAGCTTTGTAGTATAGTTTGGAGTCAGGAAGTGTTATGCCTCTGGCTTTATTATTTTTTGTGCAGGATTGCTTTGGCTATTTGAGATCTTTTGTTGTTCCATACGAATGTTAGGATTTTTTCTATTTTTGTGAAGAATGTCATTGGTATTTTGATGGGGATTGCACTGAATTTGTAGATTGCTTTGGGTAGTATGGACCTTTCCACAATGTTAATTCATCCAATCCAAGAGCACAGCATGTCTTTCAATCTTTTTGATGTCCTCTTTAGTTTCTTTCATCAGTGTTTTGTAGTTCTTATTGTAGAGATCTTTCACCTCTTTGGTTAAATTTGATTTTTTTTTTTTTAGTAGCTATGGAAATAGGCTTGCTTTCTTGATTTCTTTTTCTGCTACTTCCTTGTTGGAGTATAAAAACCAACTGATTTTTATGTATTGATTTTGTATCCTGCAACTTTACTGAATTTATTTATTAGCTCTAGGAGTTTTTTTGTACAGTCTTTAGGTTTTTCTATATGTTGGATCACGTCATCTGCAAACAAGGACAGTTTGACTTCGTCTTTTCCACTTTGGGTGCCATTTATGTCTTTCTCTTGCCTGATTGCTCTGGCTAGTACTTCCAATACTTTGTTAAATAGAAGTGATGAGACTGGGCATCCTTGTCCTGTTCCTGTTGTCTTATTCCCATTCAGGATGAGATTGGCAGTGGATTTGTCATAGGTGGATTTTATTGTTTTGAGATACTTTCCGTCTATACCTAATCTGAAGGAGTGTTGAATTTTGTCAAATGCTTTTTTTGCATCTATTGAGGTGATCATATGTTTTTTGTCCATGATTTTGTTTATGTGGTATTTTACATTTATTGATTGACATAAAACCATCCTTGCATCCCTGGCATGAATCCCACTTGATCATGATGTGTCATGTTTTTGATGTGTTGCTGTATTCTGTTTGCTAATATTTTGCTGAGGAATTTTGCGTCTATGTTCACCAAGAATATTGGCCTGTAGTTTTCTTTCTTTGTTGCGTCTTTGTCTGGTTTTGATATCAGGGTGATCCTGGCCTCATAGAATTAGTTTGGGAAAATGGCCTCTGTTTCAGTTATTTGGAATGGGTTGCAAAGGATTGATATTAATTCTTCTTTGAAGGTTTGGTAAAATTCAGCAGTGAAGCCATCCAGTCCTGGGCTTTTCTTTGTTTGGAGACAGCTGAATATTACTTCCATCTCTTTGCTCATTATTGATCTATTGAGGTTTTCTATTTCTTCGTGGTTCAGTCTTGGTAGTTTGTATGTGTCCAGAAATTTACCCGTTTCCTCCAGGTTTTCAAATTTGTTGGTGTATAGTTGTTCATAATAGTCTCTAATAATTCTTTGTATTTCTGTGGTATCAGTTGTAATGTTTCCTTTTTCATTTCTGTTTTTTGTTATTTGGGTCTTCTTTTTTAGTTAGACTAATGGTTTTTCTCTTTTGATTATCTTCCAAAAAACCAACTTTTTGTTTTATAGGTCTTTTCTTTTTTTTTTTTTTTTTTGCCTATATTTCATTTAGTTCTGCTCTGATCTTAATTATTTCTTTCTGTCTATTAATTTTGGGAATGGATTGTTCTTCTTTCTCTAGTTCTTTGAGATGTAACATTAGATTGTTTATTTGGAGTCTTTCTGGACTTTTGATGTAAGCATTTATTGCAATAAACTTCCCTGTTAGTGCTGCTTTTGCAGTATCCCATAGGTTTTGGTATGATGTTTCTTTATTTTCATTAGTTTCAAGAAATTTTTTGATTTTCTATTTAATTTCTTCTTTGACCCATAGGTCATTCAGGAGCATGTTGTTTAATTTCCATGTATTTGTATAGTTTCCAAAGTTTTGATTGTTGTTGATTTCTAGTATTAATCCATTGTGATCTGAAATGATTTTGGTTTTTTAAAACTTGTTGAGACTTGATTTGTGGCATAACTTGTGGTCTACCTTGGTAAATGTTCCATGTGCTGATGAGAAGAATGTATATTCTGTGGTTGTTGGGTGAAATGTTCTGTAAATGTCTGCCATGTCCAGTTGGTCTAGAGTGTAGTTTAAGTCCTGTGTTTGTTTGTTGATTTGTTGCCTAGATGACCTATCCAGTGTTGAGAGAGGAGTGTTAAGGCCCCCAGGTATTATTGTATTGGGGTCTTTCTTACTCTTGAGGTCTAATAGTGTTTGCTTTATAAATCTGGGTGCCCCAATGTTGAATGCATATATATTTATGATTGGAGGATAGCATTTAAAAAAAATTTTCATTTCTACCAGTATTTGAAACCACAGGATGATAGTACATCAGAGCTTGAAGGGTCTTAATTATAATAGTAATAATAATGACAATGACTGGTAACATTTGCTGAGTACCTCCTGTGTACGAGGCACTGTTCTCAATCCCTTAAGTGTGTAATTGCCTTTAGTTCATATTACAGTTACATGAGGTAGGGGCTGTTATTATTCCCATTTCACAAAGGAAGACAAGGATGCAGAGGAGTGATAAGCAACTTAGGTTACATAGCTAGTAAATGGTAGAGCCAGGGTCCAAGTCCAGTCATTCTGATCTCAAAACCCACACTTTTAATCAGTGTGATCTACTGATATGCTATACAAGTATTATATACATGCCTTTTTGTTCCAGGTGGGTGACTGAGACCTCAGGGAGGGCAAAGGATTTGTCTAAGGTCAGAAAGGTAATTAGTGGAGGAGCTTGGACTAGAAGTTAGTATTTTTTCACTTTTTCACCCTGTTCTTAGCAATATTGTTCTTTAAATTTGACTTTCTCTAGCACCCAACAATCCCCAAATGTTTCCTGAGTAGTCATTTATTTTTTATTTCAGATCTCTGTAAGGTGAAGAGAGGACATATACAAGCTCTTCCCAGATAGAGAAGCTGAGTTCCAGAAGGGATTTAATAGCATATCTGGTCTGCATTGTTTGCTTTTATGTCTGTTGTCCTTTTGTTTGCTGTCCTTCCTTCTGGCTGCCAGTTTCAACTGGGTTGCTGTCTTTACAAATATTACTAGAATTTCTTGCCCTATAAGATATATCCAAAAGGATGGGTGTTTCTTAGATAAAGGTGATCTCGAAAGAATCCTGTGCCCAGAAACAAGTCCTGGTTTTCAGTTGATTCTGGCTTAAAGATCATTTGGGGGATTTCCATTTAAGGAGTGCTTTGATGAAGTAAGAGATGGAAGGGCAGGTAGAACAGGAATCTCAGAATATCAGTACTGGAATAAACCTCCCACGTCGTGTGTATACGGAGGTCCAGAGAGGCCCAATGACTTACCCAAGGTCTCTGAACTCTCTTGTCACTGCCATTATCATTCTGTGACTCTGAGAGTGCTCTCATCTTATCATAGTAGGAATGAGAGAAACAAGGTTGTCATAATGGTGCTGCTAGCCAGAGAATGCAAGGAGACTTTATGCCTGCAATAGAATGATGAATTCCAGATTTCCTGTTTGGTTGTTGTATTAGTCCATTTTTGTTGCTTATAACAGAATACCTAAAACTGGGTGATTTATATAGAGAAATGAAATTTATTGCTTACAGTTTCTGAGGCTGGGAAGTCCAAAGCCCATCTGGTGGTGGCAACAGTGACCTAGGGGTCTCACATTGCAAGATGGTGGAAGCAGAGAGAGCAGCAGAGAGAGCAAGAGAGACAGACTCTCCTCTTCTTTGAAAGCCCTCAGAACCATACCCATGATCAGCATTTTTAATCCATTCACTACTGCATGGTCCTACAATCCAATCGCCTCTTCAAGGCCCCACCTTTCAATTACCACGATAGGATTTCCCACCCTCTTCACAATCACAGTGGGGGCCAAGTTTCTAATATGTAATACTTGGGGGACATATTTCAGGCTTCAGGGAGTTTTGGGGGAACATAATTCAATCCACTATGGTTGTGAAGGTCTAACAGGACCATAAACAATGTACCAACTTGGGGTATCTCTTGATGTAGATAGTATCTTAGTCCGTTTGTGCTGCTATGACAATATGCCTGAGATTGGGTAATATATAAACAATGGAAATTTATTTCTCACAGTTCTGGAGACTGGAAGTCCAAGACCAAGGTGTGATAGGTTCTCTGTCTGGTTAGGGTCTGATCTCTCCTTCCAAGATGACACCTTGTTGCTGTATCCTCCTGAGAGGACAAATGCTGTGTCCTCACATGGCAGAAGGGATGAAAGGGAATGAACCCACTCCCTCAAGCCCTTTTATAAGGGTCCTAATCCCATCCATGAGGGCTCTGCCCTCATGCCTTAACCACCTACTAAAGGCCTCACTTCTTAATACCATCACATTGGTGATTAAGTTTCAATGCATGAATTCTGGGTGATATTCAGACTATGGCAGGTAGTCTGCATGTAAATAGAATAAAATTGGGTGCAAAGCCATCTGCCATGTAGAAGAGGCCTTATAGTATAATGGTTAAAAATGTGGCTACTGGGCCAGACTTTCTGGATTTAAATCCTGTCTCTACCACTTACCCGCTATGTGACCTTGGGTATCCTCCCTTTGCCTCAGTTTCTTCCTCTGTGAAATAGGGATGATTACCATAGTAACTGCTTTGTAGGCTTGTTGGGTAGATTAAATGAGTTAATACATGTAAAGTACTTAGAACAAAACCTGGCACCTAGTGAGCATTCAGTAAATATTAGTTATTTGTCATAAGATTGCTTGTCAGCCAAAAGGCCTCCTTCCTGTGGCTTAGTCAGTCTCCATGTTGTTGAATACCTCCCAACTAGAATTGCTTTCTGGACATCCTAGATGGTAGAAGGAGCACAGCCATTTCCTGACAGATGAATGTGCCTGTCATGTAAATGCTCACCCCTAGAGCCCAGGCCAAATGGCTGGCTTCCAAGAGAGAGAGCCAGGGAGAGCCTTCCTCATTTTGACTGAAGCACAATGGGACCAATTTAGATGTGCATTATGGTGGGGTTTCTTGACATTCGCCTTCCTATTTCCTTGCCTGGCCCTGGCATGAGGCCACGGAGATATCACCTCCCTCAGGGTTCCCAAAGTTGCTGTTCTCTAATTGCCCATTACTATTCTGAGTAAAAGAGATTTTGAAAAATTACAATTCTATAGTCCTGTGACTGCTCAGTGGGACACCTCCCGGGGCAGAGAGGGATACTAGATCACAAGACTCAGGTGAATTTTCTACTTTAAAACTTATCATTTTTTCCTCAGGCCAGGAACCATCACTCTGCAGGCCCTTTCAGAAGCTAACAGAAGGCTGTGGATGGAAGCCATGGATGGGAAAGAACCTGTAAGTTACCTCAGACACTGGGGAGACCTCAGCAGCATAGGCCAGTGTATGAGTGGTATCAGTCGGCCTAAGACAGTAAATGGTTCTTCAGATGTACAGTTTAAGAGCTGAAAGGAATTTTTGATTCCACATTTCTTATTTAACAGGTAAGGCAGCTTCGGTTTCAGAGAGGGTGAGGGACTTGTCTAGGAGCTTCTTCAGAGAAGGTGACAAAGCCGGGCTTAGGATGTAGGTCTCTCAGCTCCCCGCTCCTGTATTAGACTATGTAGCTATGCCCACAATCTTCTTGAAAAAGTGAATTAAGCCTTTTTTCAGATTATGAAATGAATATGTGCTCATATAGAAGAATGGGAAATAATTGCCATGGCTGTGAATAAGAATTTATTAAGCTTTTATTCAAAATGATTTATCTGCCCCCCTCCCTTCCCCTTATACTCCCAACTCAGCTAATTTTCTTTAAGGTACAACTGGTGGAGGAAATGGCATTGCTGTCCTGTATCCCAAGATGTACCACTCCATTTAGATCACTGTTACACAGAAGGACAAGCAATCCCTTAAAAGGGTTAGTGATTGTCATAGAGAGACCAATATGAGCAGGCAGAAATCATTCAGTATCTTTCTAGTAGGTTTCTTCTAGTGGCATATGAAATAATATCAACTTCCTGATGTTGGAATTTCAAAAGCCTCAATTTGGATCCTGGTTCTGCCATTAAGTGGTTGTGTGACCTTGAGTGAGTCACTTCACCTCTGAGTTTCAGTTTTCTTCTTCTCAGTACAATTGCTTTAATAATTTTTGCTTTACCTACCTCACAATATTGCTTTGAAAAATCAATGAAAGCTGTTCTGTAAACCATAATGTGCTATATTATTTTTAGTTGCCCCTAACTGATCGAAGGATGGGTGCAAAACTACTGAGATTCAAGAGTATTTGTATACAGTCTTATCTCCTTGCTTTGTTCAGTTCAAAAACTGGCTAAGAGGGGAAAAGCATTCCAAGTTTTTCTTTCTTCACTGTCCTGAAGATTAAAGAGGAGTAACCAGATCCCAGATTGCATTTATAGCAACCAGGAAGGTAGCAGGAGAGACGTGGTGTTGTGAGGACTGCCATGCAGAAAGTAGGCCAGGACTTGTCTTCCTTCTGTCACCTCCCAGAAACCTGGCACTTAACTTTTACATACTTGTGATGTTTCTCTAGGAAGATGCTAGGAGGCTTTAGCAAGGCATTTATTTCTCAATTCCCTTTCCTGCACTTGCTCTGCCATTAGGTTTTTAAAGAAAGAAGGATACAGAAGGCTTTTTGTGGAGAATGATGTTAGAACATGGGCCCACTGAATGTGATTCCTCACCAATTTGATTATGGCAGACTTTTCTCAAATCTCTTGCTTATAAAAGTGGTGGCAAAGGCTGGCTGACACGGAAATCTGTCTCACTGAAGTATTCATGGGCATGCACGCATATGCACAAAATTTTCTTTTAAAAGAAGAGGCTGTTAAAGCAGACTCTAACAGATGGCAACTCATTTCCTTCCACCTATCATTGCTAATGTTGTTGCAGCTTTACTAAATACCCCAATCCACTAATTTTACACATCATATGCATGCCTTTGCTTAAAGTATCAAAGAACATCAGGGCTTGCAGGAACACCTACTCAAACCTGATCACTTTACCAGTAGAAATTTTAAAATCTAGAGAATGGAGAGGGCATGCCTAAGATTTCATAACGAGGGGGAGCCAGGACTAGACTTGAAGTCTAGTCAAGAATGTCCTTGCTGGTTTCTTGCCTGGCTATCACAATGCATGCTTCAGGATGACTCAGAGACATCTTGGTAAAATACATGGATTTTTTCAGGTGGACACTTGCCTTTCCACAGAGGAACATCCATTAATAGTCTTTGGGGTGGGGGATTGAAGTTGCGAACAGTTAAATTTTACCATCAATGCCCATTACCCAGGTGTCCATGAGAAAACCACTTCCTTTCTCTCATGCTTTCTTGCTCTATCATAGAAGTGCTCCAAGATTTGCATAAGTAAATGTCTAAGATGTATTGGCTATAACTTCAACTACATTTAGCTGTATGAAATCCAGTACAGTTTTCAGGGGTTGTTAAATCGCTTTTTAGGACCTAGGCGAAGATGATTTCTGTTTAGCCCTCTTTCCCTTCTTGTTAAATTCCTAGAGTCTTTAATGATGTTGATGGCCTATCTGGAGAAAGAGATTTAATATTATTTGCCCTGCTTACCTGTAGTGATTCACAATAGCAATGGCTCTTTCTGTTTTTCTTCTTTTGTAGATCTACCACAGCCCCATAACGAAACAGGAAGAAAGTGAGTCACTCAAATTTTCAGTTTACTGACATTATAAACTAACAGCTGTCCTAATCATAGTAAACATTATCATTAATGATGTGTACTATCGATGCAAGTCTTTATATGGACACTTCTGTGTGAATAGGAACTCAACCCTGTCTGTTGATTGAACTAACGAAGTCACTTCATCTTAGCTTATTGTGGGGATAGTAGGGATAGTAGTGGTAATATAGAGAAACACATTATATCCTTCCTGTTGCGGGCACATGATAGAAGTTGTGTGCATCTCCCGACTAACGTTTCACATTTGTTGTTGTTCTTGCCTAAAGCAGACATAATGCAAAGGGCTAAATAAAAGCATTTTGTGTTATAAGAATTAAAGTTCTAACATTCCCTCAATAAAAGGATCATTCCATTTAAGGGTGATTGGCGATGAGCAACCAAACCTCTAGTTCTGTCACCGAAGTCCCTTAGCATGATCATTAAATATTTGGTAGGTGACGCTTATTACAACAGGATCTAACTACTTTCCTTTGCTTGAAACAGTGGAGCTGAATGAGGTGGGGTTCAAGTTTGTTAGGAAGTGCATCAATATCATTGAGACCAAAGGTAAGATCTAAACCATAGCTGTGCCATTGTTTGGTCACTTTGATTTTATCCTGGGACAGTTTCTCTAAAGTAACAATGATATCATCTGTTGGTCAGGGCTCATTTTAGAAATGCACACTGTTTATAAACCTTGTGCACTAGACACAATTTGTAAAATTTCAGCAGATTCCAAACCAGTGGTATCCAAGCATATTTGGAGAATTTGTGGTTTCCTGCTTTTAAAGAAAAAGAACTTCAAATGGTTTGTAATGTATTCTGAAATAGTACCTGGTGCTCTTCAAGCAGTGTTATGATGGTTTCATCCTAAATAAATAAGTGTTCAATTTCTGCCACAATACATATTGGTTTACAGATTGATGGGGGCAAAGCTAAACTTAGGCAAATGTGGAGTCAGGATTCTTCCTGGTTTATCATACTGCCTGGTTTCCCTCAGAATATTTAGAATATGTCAGGTGTGGTATATAAGCCAAGCCTCTTTTTTCTTTGAAATTTTGCTTCAGTCTTCCTCAGTGCAGGAAATGGCCTTTTGCTTTACGTCTGCCATACTCCAGTCCTCTTTTCCTTTATATCACTGCTGAGGAGCAACTTGAGGGTTAATATTTCCTCCTTTTTTAACTAAACCCTAGCTTGTTTCCGACATGGCAAAACAGTTGTCAGCTATTTGCTGCCATCCACCTAAGCATATGCTTCTATTTACTATAGATAGTGTGATCTCTTATATTCAGATTAATGAAGTCCTGATACAATTCAAATGAAAGTATGGATAATTTGGAGAGATACTTCAGGACTGTTTCTGTTATAGGGGAGGGCTGGAAAACTTGGACAGAGTAGGGAGACCCCTTCCTGTCTGAAATGACTCCAGTGCACAAGTACCTAATTTTTCTATGCTGGAGGAGATGAAAGCTCTAGCTATATAAACAAAACTGACCTGATTTTCTTTTCCTAGGGATCAAGATGGAGGGCTTGTACCGCACAGTGGGCAGCAATATCCAGGTTCAGAAGCTGCTGAATGCCTTTTTTGGTAGCAATTTTACTTTCATAATTCTTACTGGGAGTAGTTTATGTGTTAGAAAGAAATGTGACTGGGAAAGAAAGGAAACATTGCTAAGGAAGGTTGTAGAATATATATTTTTAATTTATTTATCTTAAATTGATACATAATTATTGTACATATTTATGAGGTACAGTGTGATGTTTCAATACATGTATACAATGTGTAATAATCAAATTAGGCCAATTAGCATATCTAGCACCTTAGACATTTATCATTTTTTTGTGGTGAGAACATTCCAGATCCTCTCTTCTTTCTATTTTGAAATATACAGTATGTTATTGTTATCTATAGTCACCCTACTGTGCAATGGAACACTAGAACTTATTCCTTCTATTTTTAAAAAATATTTTCAAAGGTAAAACATACACATATTTGCCTGCCCTTGGTCAGAGACAATCTTGCCTTGAAGAAATGGTTGTCCTTTCTCACATCGCATTCACTTCACAATTCACTTTGCAATCTGGCTTCAACTGCTACCTCTTCACTGCAACTGCTGTGGCCAGGCATTACAGGTATCTTCTTGTCAAATCCAGTGAACACTTTTCAGTCTCTGTCTTACTTCTTGTTGTTTGTTCACTCTCTCCTTTTTGAAACTTTCTCTTCACTTCCATGACACAACACTCTCTTGATTCTTCTCACATCATGTACTATTTCTTTTCAGTGACTCTTGCTGGATTTTTTTATCTTTAAATTTTGTCTGGGTATTTCTCAGAATTTTACCTTTGTTCCCCTTTACTTCTTCCTGTACGTGTTCTTTTGTCTGTTTGTTTGTTTACTGATTGATTTTTACGCTGGTTAAGGGTCACATTTTTCTTTTTTTTTTTAATCTGTCTAGTAATCTTTATTGGATACTAGACATTGTGACTTACTGAATATCTTGATTTTATTGACTTCTTTTAAAGAGCATTGAATTTTGTTTTGTAGGCAGTTACTTGTGGATCAGCTTGATGCTTTTGAGGCTTATTTTTAAGCTTTGTTAGGCCGGATATAAAGTATACTTTACTGGCTAGTTAGCCCTACTACTAAGGTCTGACTTCTTTTGTCTCTTTGTTCTTACTGATTGGAACACAGACGTCTCCCAACTCTATGTGTGTTCTGGGAATTGTTCAGCTTAACGTTCCCTGGTGTTTTTTTGCCCAGCCTGTGGAGTTTCCCTCTAGAATTATTATTCACTTGTAGCTTAGTAATCAGTGACAGATTAAGGGGATAGTTAGATTTTTTTGAGTTCTTTCTCTATATAGTTTCCTCTTCTCTGGTACTCTACTCTGTAAATTCTAGCTGCTTTAGCCTCCCTGGACTTTGATCTTTGTCTTTTCAACTGAGCAAGACTTCCGTGATCAGCTTGAGTTCCCACTCCATATGCTACCATCTAGAAAGTGCTTTCAGGTAGTAAGCTGTGGTGATGGTAGGACTTATTTTGGTTTTTTTCTCCCTTTTCTCAGTCATAGTCCTGTGTTGTCTATTGTTCAATAACTACAAACAGTTATTTCTTTCTTTCTTTCTTTCTTTCTTTTTTTTTTTCCTTTTTGTCTTTTTTCGTGTCCGGCAACGGATCGCAACCCTCAGTGTCGCGCCCGTACCGGACCGGGACCGGCAACGGGATCGCAACCCTCGGCATTGCTCCCACACCGTGCTCAGCCAGTGAGCGGGAACCGGTCTGTATGTGGGATCCGAACCCTCGGCGGGAGCGCCGAGCACTGGGCCGGCCCCAAACAGTTATTTCATATACATTGTTCAGTTTTCTAATTGTTGCAGCAGGAGGACAAGTCTCAAGTCTGATACCAGTTACTCTACCATGGCTAGAGTGGAAGTCCCTCTGTATGGTTTTTACTCGTACCTGTGTGCTGACAACTCCCCAAAAGCCTCTATCCCAGACATCATCTCATGAACTGGAAACTCATATATCCAGTTGCCCACTGCACCTTCACTTCTCTCTTTTTAAAAAAATTTACTTATTTATTATTATTGTTTACATTCTAAGATGTTGTGGAGCAGTTGAGGGGAGGGGGAGAAAGAAAGGGGGAGAAAATAGGGTGGGAGGAGGAGGAAGGAGGGAGGGCATGGTTGAGGACCGTGGCACCCCCCTAATTCCTGCGGGGGAGACCAGGGGATTTCTAGTTGCAGCTTGGTCATTGCTGGGCTGGATGCAGATGTTGGGGGAGCTCAGCTGAGGCCCTTGGCCTCCCACTGCCCTGGCTCAGGAGCCCAGGGTGCTTCCAGTGGTGGCTCAGTGGTCACTGCTGGGTTGGTTGCAGATATTGGTGGTGTGTGGCTGAGGCTGTCGGCCCCCCACTGGCCCAGCTCAGGAGCCCAGAGCACTTCTGCCGGTAGCCTGGTGGTCATCAGTGGGCTGGGTGTGGTCATTGGGAGGGCATGGCTGAGGCCCACAGCCCTCCCCCCTCCCCAGCTTGGGAGCCCAGGGGGCTTCCGGTCCTTCTAGGTTTTATAGATGTTCTTCGGTGGTGTTAGACCTTTACTGGTTAATATCAAACTTTGTCTCTGATCTGTGGGTATTTTGTTTTCTTTTTCATTTCTGTGTTGGATTATTTGCTGTTCCCACCGCTTAAACTCAGCACTGGAATAAATTTGTTGTCCTTTGATTACTTCAAAATTGGGGGAACTTCCTGTGGGAACCAGCACTTGAGCGCAGTAGTTGAGCTAAATTGCTGCTTTGCTGCCAATTCTCTGGGAAAGGCTTTTTGTGCAGCTCAGGTTTTAATTGTTGACCTTGTAAGCACTTCTGGGTCTGGTGAGGTCTGATACACCTGGGTTGTGTGAAGACTCTGGTCTGGACTTGAGTTTTTTCAGCAAGCTATACCCCATGCAGTTCTATATTCCTGATCAGTCCCCACCGAGTGATTCTGTGCTGATTGGGAGGCAGATCACCTGTCCATGCTGTACCCTAATACTCTCCTGGTGGCCTGTCTCTCTCCACCACCTGCACTCCAAACACGTCCTTGGGATGGGCCATGTGACGGTCCCTTGCAGTGACTCACCAGCCTCTGAGTGGCTCCTTTTTTCAGTTGTCTGTGGCCCCTCCTGTGTGGGTCCATGGGAACCCTGTTACTGGTCTTGCTGGCCTGGGGGCCACGTAGGCTCTCTTCTCCCCTGCAGCCTCTAAGTAACTTCATATGAAGGGCAGAGCTGTGGCTTTTGCCAGCTCTGGCTCCATGTGCTTGCCAGTTCCAGCCTTAAAGCAGCCGGGGTTCGAAATAGTGGGAGCGATCCTTTCTTTCTCTCATTGTGGCTTCTCCTGTCTTCATGAACTCCATAGCTCCCTGTTCCTCTTCCCCTTGAGCTCTAGCGGCCCCATCTTGGCTGTCATTGCTTTTTAATAGTTGTAAATTGGTTGATTGTGGGAGAGAATGACTCTGGGGATCGTCTATTCTGCCATCTTGACTGGACACACCTACACTTCTCAACCATATTTTGGTAATGGCACAGGTCAGAATGATCATATCTATATAACACACTGGGGTTAATGGACATGACTGAAGCAGTAAAACTTAAAGGCCAAAAGAACGTGTTGAAATCTGCACAAGCTCTCTGCATAGATGTTCCACAGGTACTTACATTTGAGATGTCCACAACTAAACTCATTGTTTTTCTCTCCCTGCAAATCTGTTCTTCCTTTTATGAGTGGTTGTGATATATCCGGTAAGCTGTTTTCACAAAGCATCAGAGAACAAATTAAGTGTCAAAAGCTGCAGTGTACATAAAGCACATATTTTTTGGTCTTTTCTGTGATGCATAGCTTGTTCCCCACAACCCCACAGGCCTGACAACCAATCCTTTTGAGGATGCTACAGCACCCAATAATAGCAGGTGTGGTGTTTTGCATTACTGATTACATCATTAGTTTCTGAATTAGTTCCATTGATCGGTTTATATTTTTGACTTTTAAAAATTCAAGTTGTCTTATTCCTGGCCAATTTACAATCCATCTTATTAGCTAAAGGACACTTTTTCATATGTACAAGAGCTGAAGTTTGGCCCGGGATATTTAGTCTGTGGAAAATTATTAAATGCAGATTGATAGAGTTTGGATGTGTTGTCCCTGCAAAACTCATATGGAAATCAGATCCCCAATGTGGCAATGTTGGGAGCTGTTTGAGTCATGGTGGTGGATCCCTCCTGAATGGATTAATGCTCTCCCTGGGGGAGGGAAGTCTGAGTGAGTTCTTGCTCTGTTAGTTCCCATGAGCGCTGGTTGTTTAACAGAGCCTGGCACCTCCTCTCTCTCTCTTTTGCTTTTTCTTGCCATGTGATCTTCTTGTACCACTGGCTGCCTGCTGCTTTCTGCTGTGATTAGAAGCAGCCTGAGGCTCACACCAGATGCAGCTGTCCCAGAATAGTAAGCCAAATAAACCTCTGTTCTTTATAAATTACCCAGTCTCAGGTATTCTGTTGTAGCAACACAAAACGGACTAATACACAGATCAACTGTTTGGAATTCTGTTTCTAGTGTCACTATGTGCTTCTACCTGATTTATAATAAGCTGAAAAAATGCCATGCCAGGTATCCTACTGATTCTTTTATGGGCTTCAATGGGACTGAAATGGTTCCCCCTAATTGCACATGGCAGTTTGATTCAGATATCAAGGAAAGTGGCATGGTTGGCATATCTCATCTATTCAACACCGTTCTCCGTAAATGAACACTCATAGGAGCATCTGAAATATAGAAGGAAGAGAATCTGAAAAACAGGAAGTTCTGGGTATAAATATTTATAGATATAATATAAAAATGTTTATCTACTTATTTATGTATGCAGTGCAACCCCTGATTCATGCCCCAAATCTTAGAAATCCAGATCTGGTGATGATCCTCATTGATTTATTCATTCATTCAGCAAATATTTGCATTCCTACCAAAGGTCAGGCTTTACATCCAGTGCTGTGGATTAAACAGTTAACACACCACCTGAATTTCCCACCTTAGTGGGATTTATATTCTGCGGTAAGACTGTCTTTCAGCTAGCTTGCAATGTCTAATATGTGCGGAGACCTT